CGTCTCTCGAGGCTCGGCCCGGACCCCACCGCTTAGGGAGCTCTTCCTCGTTTCGCCTGCCCACGAGGATTTTGCTCGGTCCCCCTCGCCCTTCTCGGGCGCTTTGTTTTGGTCGTTTTCACACGTTTTTATCTCTTCGTCCACGTTGTGAGTCCATGGGCGTTTCGGACCTAGGCCCCTCCTCTTCTCGAGTTCCATCCTGAGTTCATCCGGTGCCTTGCTTTACTGTATACACTCTTAGTTATTTGCTGATCGCTTCGTAGGATTCCTCCTGAGAAGTGATGGGAATCCTCAGGCTGCCCTTTTTGTTAGTCTTTAAAAAAAAAAAAAAAAGTTGGCCTTATTTTTTCAGAATTCTTACATAGACCATCTCACTCTAAGAAACAAGGATGCTAATAGCTAACACGTGTTCTAGCAGTGAGTTCTGCTAAGCACTTTAATAGCCATTATCGCCTCGTTCTTTTTTTTTTAATTTAATTTTTTTTTTTGGAGAGATTTTCTCTGTAGGGCGCGTGCACTCGCCAGACAGACAGAGAGAGACATAGAGACAGAAAGCGAGAAATCACCCCCCAGGGGGCATGGTCACACCGCAATCCCTTCTCGTCCATTCTCCTCTTGGGATCTTGGGCATGCACACACACGCGCCCGGCATGAGTTTTAAGCCACCGGGTCCGGGACGTGAACCGCAGTCGACTACGTGGGAGTCCAGCGACATAGCCTTTACGCTAACTGCTGGTTCCCATATCGCCTCATTCTTGAATTTAGGCAGTGAGGTAGGTAGAAGTATTCCTGTGCTTCACGGAAACTGAGGCTTGAGTAATTCTGTCATTAGTAAATGATGGAGCTCGGTAAGCAGATCGATTGAATCCAGTACCCTTGGCTGGATTACATTTAAGAAAAGAGATGCAGAGAAGCTAGGTGGTTTGTCTAAAATTGGGTAGTAAGTTAGAGATTTACACTAACATTGCAGGAACTCCTAGTACGAGAGCGCTGGCAGAACGTTCTGAACAGGCGTGGGCCAGACTTTCTGGGCGCTTACAGCAAATAACTGCTTGGTGCTACATGCCCTGGGCATTGTGTATAGAGACCTGGTGTCTGTGTGAGGGAGGGAATGAGTTGGGCTGTAAAACAGGCAGAGATGTAGGAGGAAAATGGAACCAAACCCTCTAGCATTGTGCCTTGGGCCCATTTCATCCTCTGGGAAGTGAGATAACAATACCTTACTCAATAGGGTTGTTGTATCAGTGAGTTTTTATACATATAAAATATGTGGAAGAGTGTTTGTCATACATGAGGCCACTTCAAAAAGTTCATGGAAAATGGGATTCAAGTACAAGTTTATTTTAGGTGCAAAAAAAAATTTTTTTTTTTTTTGGAGAGATTTTCACTATAGGGTGCGTGCGCTTGCCAGACAGACAGAGAGAGACATTAGAGACAGAAAGAGAGAAATCACCCCCCAGGGGGGATGGTCACGCCGCAATCCCTTCTCCTCCATTCTCCTCTCGGGATCTTGGGCACGCACGCACACGCGCCCGGCGTGAGTTTTAAGCCACCAGGTCCAGGACACGAATGGCGGTCGACTACGTGGGAGTCCAGCGACATAGCCATTATGCTAACTGCTGGTTCCCAGGTGCAAAAACTTTTGAAATCCATGCATAATTTTCTTTCTTTTCTTTTTAAAGGATTATTTAATTTTAGTTTTTAAAATTATTATTATTATTTTAACTTGCTATATGGCAAGTGCACTCACCAGAGAGAGGAAATGAGAAAGCAAGCCTCCAGGTCCAGGACTTGAACCATGGTTGACTATGTGGGAGTCTAGCGCCTTAATTGCCATGGCACTTGTCGGCTCCGTCATTTTCTTGTAATGCTCATTTCCCACAAACTTTTTTTTTTTTTTAGAGTTTTTTTTGCTATAGGGCGAGTGCACTTGCCAGACAGAGACAGACAGAGAGAGAGAAAGCGAGAAATCACTCGCGGGGGGGATGCCCATGCCGTAATCCCTTCTTCATTCTCCTCTCGTGATCTTGGGCACACACGCACACACACCTGGCATGAGTTTAAGCCACCGGGTCCAGGACGCGAACTGCGGTCGACTATGTGGGAGTCCAGTGATAAAGCCATTATGCTACCTGCTGGTCCCATCCCACGAACTTTTTGAAGATCTCTCATAGTGGATACTTACTTCATAGGTAGAGCAAATTCATTGAGACTGGGAACTCAAACCCACATCTTCTGACAGCCTGGTGCCCTCTATACAGTATACTAGTTGCTTTGTTTGCATTTCTTGCCTACGGAGGAAAGAATGATGACCTGACATAGTTAACTTTGTCCTACACCTTCCCAGGTTGGAAACAAGCAGGACAGGAGAGAGAAATTAAAGAAGGTTGGGGGACAGTGAATGAGAGGCAGGGGAGCTTTGCCTTTTGGGGTGTTCTGGATAGCTGGTTAGCCTGCCTCCTGAGTCTTACCCACCAGTCCAGCAGCAGGTCTGTGTAGAATACTCGTGCTCAGCACTAAAGTTGACCTGGTGTAGGGACCCAACCAGGTGCGAATGGTTCCTGGTCAGAAGTAGCTTCTAGTTAAATTGGGTAGACAAGAATAGAACATATAAAACAACCACAAGTGACCATGGGCAGCATGAAAATAGGGTTGAGGTTTTATGGTGTCAACTGTGCCAGCCATAGAGGAGGCAGTTTAGTAAGGGTGGCTGGAATGCGGTTATTTCCTGGTATTTACTGAGCACCTGGGTTGTACAAAGCTCTGAGCTGACACCGGGAATGAGAGGTGACTATGTGATGGTGTGTGCCCTGAGGAACTCCTAGTCTACGGGAGACAGGCACTCCATCGCGTCGGAGCAAGTGCACTGGTGAAGGTGTGTGCAGGCTGCTGCAAGCAGGACTTGGGAGGCTCCAGCTCTATCAGTATGAGTTGGAAAACGGGTCATCAGGGAGTCAGATAGGTTTGAAGGGTGAGTGGAAGTTACTAGGCAGGGAGTATATATTTTTTTCTTTTAGATTTTTGTCGTAGGGTAAGTTTGATCACCAGAGAGAGGGAAAGTGAGAAATCATCCCCCAGAGTGATGACCATGCCACAATCCTTTCTCAATTCTTTTGGAATTTTGCGCACGAGGCATAAATGCACCCGGTGGATCTGGGATCTAAACCATGGGGTTGACGAAGTGGGATCCAGCACCTTAATCACCACATCTCCTGCTGACCCACTAGGCAAGGAGTTTTAAGAGAATGTAGTGTGTTCAGGGACAAAGATGATTGAAATAGAGAGGAAGAGGGAATGAATGAGTGGGCGAAGAAGCCAGAGAAGCAGCCTGGTGTGGGATTGGAATTCAGGCGTTCTTAAATCAAATGAAGTGACCATGGAACAGGCTCGCCACGGGGCCCTCGATGTGTGTTGTTTCCTTACCCAAACCCTGGAGATGTAAGTTGAAACCAGTTTGAGAAAAGCCTTGCATCCCGTAATGTAGGTGGTAGAGGAGGTTTGGATTAGGTCTGGCTTAGGAAGGCTTCCCACCCCAACATGAGAAAATGTTAGTCTGCAGGCAGCCAACACCCACCTACACCCCAGAGTGTACATGACCAGATGGTTCACTAAGGATAAAAGGCTGTTAGGCTTACTAGGTATAATAGGTTCAGAAGCCGGGGCCAGCAGGTGGCGTGGTGGTTAAGGGTGCTGGACTCCCACATGGCTGACCGCGGTTCCAGTCCTAGACATGGTGGCTTGCTTTCTCACTTTCTCTCTCTATTCCCTCCCTCCCCCCCACCTCCTGTCAAACTAAACTAAAATAAATAATAAAGTTAAATGAAATAATTCTTTTTTTTTTTTTTTGGAGAGGTTTTTGCTATAGGGCGCGTGCGCTCGCCAGACAGACAGAGAGAGACATAGAGACAGAAAGTGAGAAATCACCCCCCAGGGGGGATGGTCACGCCGCAATCCCTTCTCGTCCATTCTCCTCTCGGGATCTTGGGCATGCACGCACACGCGCTCGGTGTGAGTTTTAAGCCACCGGGTCCAGGACACGAACTGCAGTCGACTACGTGGGAGTCCAGCGACATAGCCATTACGCTAACTGCTGGTTCCCTAAATGAAATAATTCTTAAAAAAAAAAAAAAAAAGTTTCAGAAGCCTGGATTTGGGAACATGAGGATTTTATTGTTTCTGTATTTTCTGTTTTTTAAATTATTTTTTTCCTAATAGTAAAGGCCTTTTTCAGAGTTCCCACCTATCTCAAGTAGGCCAGAGGGAATAATCCTCTATTCCCTTCCCAGCATCATAGCATGATGACAAGATCAGTGAGAATCCATAAGGGGAAGGAGACACACGGGGCAGAGTCACGGCCGTGAGTGTCTTCCCCACACCCCAGCTTTCGCTTACACATCTCCCTCACCAAAGAGAGGGAGAAGGGAAACGCACCCTCCATGCAGTCACTGTGTTTTTCAAGCTGCCAGGGCTGAGATCTGAACCATGTAGCTGGCCAGGTGGAATCTTGCTTCCTTAACCAGTAGACTTCAGGACCAGCCCTGTTCTTTAAGTTTATTTACTTATTTCTTCCACTAGGGAAATAGCAGCCCCGACAAGGCCCCAACAATCCTCTCCAGCCTCCAGCAGAACTGGGTCGTGGGGATGCATGTGTCTGATGCACCCAGATAGCTTGGGACCCTCATGTGTGGGCCAGCCCCACAGAGGTCATGTTCCTCCACTGTGTCACTGCCTGGCCCTGAAATTATTCTTTCATTATTCCCAAGAATGCTTTTGGGGGGCCAGCAGATGGCATAGTGGTTAAGGCACTAGGCTCCCACATGGCTGACCACAGATTGGGTCCTGGATTTAGCGGCTTGAAAATCACAGTGGACATGTGTGCGTGCATGTCCAAAATCCCAGGAGGAGAATGGAAAAGAATGGATTGCTGCATGGTCATCCACCCGGGGAGTGATCTCTGTCTCTGTTTCTCCAGCGAGCACATGCACTCTGTGTCAAAAAAAAAAAAAAGAAGAAGAAGAAGAATGCTCTTGGAACTGCCTGCATCAGAACTGGGTGCTGGTTTAAAAGGGTACATTTCTTTAATCCCCCCTTCCAGAATCTAAACTTCTGGTGGAAGTGTTGGAGAATTCTGCATTTGTGTCCATATTAACAACTGAACTTCAGTTGTGTTTAATTGCTGGAGGGCGGGTGTGCTGGCCACAGAGAGCCAGGTGAAGAGAGAGAGAACACCCTCTAGTGAGGCATGAGCATGCTGTGATCATTTTCCTCCATTCATTCCTATCTGTATTTTAGGTGTACACACACACACGTATACACATATACACATGTATACACACACACACACACACACACACACACACACACACACACACACCTGACATGGTTTTCAAGCTGCAGGCGCTGGGATTTGAACTGCAGTAAGCCAGGTGGTGTCTGGCTCCCTTAACCACTACATTATGAGGCCAGCCCAAGAGAACTTCCTAACTTTGTATTTATTTTTCTTCAACAAATATTTACTACATGCCTACACATACCTAGGGTAGTGTACTCACCAAGGTACGGTATAAACAAAGAAAAAATCTTACATTCAAGTGTGATGTGAGGGTGTTAGGGTGGAGGAAACCGTTGGATAGGCTGGGCAGAGGCTGAGGAAATGTCATTTTGAAAGTCTGGGGGACTTATGATGTAAGTAAGGAACTTTTGGGCTCCAAAGAATGTGGACTTTGGAGTCAGTCCAACCTCTGAGCCTCAGGTCTTTATAAGTGAGGCTAAAAATAGTACCTATCTCATAGGGTGGTGTTGGTAATTAAGTGACAATGCAAATAAAATGTCTAATATGGTGCTCTGCATACAGTAAATGGGAAATGAAAAACAAAAAGTACACAAAGTATGGTTATCCCCATTTTGCAGATGAGAATGTTCGGAAGGAAGGGTTGTTGGCCAAAGCTGAGCAGCTCGTAGATGGCTAGCAGTGGAGTCTGGGTTTGAACTCTGGTCCAAAGACGTGTTTACTCCTGACCCTGAGTATTCTGCGTCTCGGAGGACTCGCTGCTTCTTGGCAGCTTGCTCTGTCTGCAGAAGTGTTCAGTTGTTTCAGTGCCTGGCGCTTGCTCAGTAGCGTCAGTTTTTGTTTTCCATTCCCAGGAACAACTGATGTCATGCAGGGGTTTGAGGAACACTGGAAAAAGCCAGGATTTCTCTCAGGTCACTGGGAAAACACCCACTGGCTTCAGGCAGGTGCCTGGCAGTGTTTGGCCCCAGCAGCACCTGGTGGAATCCTTACAGATGTGGATTGCTTCCTCTTCCTCTAGGGTGAAGGCCATGCCACCTGGGAAAGTTCCGCGGAAGGAGGACTTGGGGCTGCAGTGTGAGTGGGGGTCCTGCTCTTTCGTGTGCTCCGCCATGGAGGAGTTCTGCGAGCATGTCACTCAGCACCTGCAGCAGCACCTGCACAGCTCCGGGGACGAGGATGAGGATGACCCACTTGGTAAGGGAACAGGCTGTGGGACTTGGGGAGAGCTCTTGGGGAGGTGGGAGAGTCAGTAAGGATATGGCAAATAAACCTGCCATGCTACCACCTAGAGGCAGTTACTGTAGTTCTTTGCAAACATTCTTTTGACCTCTCTGCATGTGTGCATGTAGTACGTGTGTATACGTGTGTATAAATGTACTAAATACACCTATTTTTTTTTTTCTTTTTGAGAGGTTTTTGCTATAGGGCGCGCGCGCACGCCAGAAAGACAGAGAGAGACAGAAACCGAGAAATCATCCTCCAGGGGGGATGGCCACTCTGCAATCCCTTCTCTTCTATTCTCTTGGGATCTTGGGCACACATGCACACGCGCCTGGCATGAGTTTAAGCCACTGGGTCTGGGACTCGAACTACGATCAACCATTTGGGAGTCCAGCGACATCCTCTTGGGATTTTGAGCACACATGTGCATGCGCTCTGTTTTTCAAGTCACAGGGACCAGGACTCAATCCACAAAGTCAGCCACGTGGGGATCCAACTGCATTAAGCACCATGCCACCCACTGTCCCAAGAATTTAGTTGTTTCTGAAAAGAAGACAGTTTAGAAATTGAAATCACCCCCTAAATTCCTTTTATTTTTGTACTAGCTTTTTAAAAATTTTTAATTACTTAATTTAATTTTATTTATTTATTCATTTATTTTAATTTGACCAGAAAGAGACAGGGACAGAGAGAGAGAGAGAGAGAGAAAGGAAGCCACCAGGTTTGGGACTCGAACCATGGTTGGCCATGTGGGAGTGTCCAGTGCCTTAACTACGCCACCTGCTGGCCTTGACCCCTAAATACCTTTCATATATAAATACTATAGTTTACTTTCTGAAACTATCAGTTATAGTTTGAAGTCATCAGACTTGAAACAGAATTTGATGTGGAGGAAGGAGCTCTGCCTCCATTCTTTCTAGAATAAGATTTTCTTTTTTTCTGTCAGAGGGTGTGTGCTCTCATCCAAGGGACAGAGAGAAAGAGGAAGAAAGCACCCTGGGAGCAACAGTCGCATCAAAGCCTTTCTCCATTTCCCCCTCCTTTGGCATTCTGGGCACTTATGCATATGAGCCTGGCAAGGGATTGTGGCACGTCTAAATCCCTAGGGGATGATTTCTTACTTTCCCTCTCTTTCTCTGCCTGTAGTGTGCATACGTGCCCGATACCAAAAACTGAAATACAAAAACAAAGTTAATTCCTAAAAAAAAGTTTGGTTATGGTTTTTTTTTTTAAAGAGGTTTTTTGCTATAGGGCGCATGTGCTCACCAGAGAGAGAGACAGAGAGATAGAAAGCAAGAAATCACCCCCCAGAGGGGATGGCCACGCCGCAGTCCCTTCTCCATTCTCCTCTCGGGATCTTAGGCACGCATGCACATGCCCCATGCCTGAGTTTTAAGCCACCGGGTCCAGGATGCGAACTGCGGTCAACTACGTGGGAGTCCAGCGACATAGCCATTACGCTAACTCTAACTGCTGGTCCCAGTTATGGTTCTTTTTTTTTTTGGAGAGGTTTTTTTCGCTATAGGGTGCGTGCACTCGCCAGTCAGACAGAGAGAGACAGAGAGATAGAAAGCAAGAAATCACCCTCCAGGGGGGATGGTCACGCCACAATCCCTTCTCCTCCATTCTCCTCTCAGGATCTTGGGCACACACGCACACGGGCCTGGCGTGAGTTTTAAGCCACCGGGTCCAGGATGCGAACTGCGGTCAACTACGTGGGAGTCCAGCGACATAGCCATTACGCTAACTGCTGGCTCCCCCCAGTTACAGTTCTTAAGAGACGCTAGAGAGATAGTAAGTGGATTAGAATAGCCAGTTAGGGGGGAGGGGCTGGGAATGTAACAAGTACAAAGGATCCCAGTCCTTGGCCTCATGTAACTTTCAGTCAGAATGTGAATCAAATTAACACATCTAGTACTAGCCGGTGCCATGTTGGTTAAGGTGCTAGATCCTACTTGGCCGACTCCACAGTTCAAGTCCCAAACCCAGTGGCCTAAAAAACATGCCGTGTGTACAGGTACCCAAAATCTCAACAGAATGGAGATCATTCCTCCTGGGGGATGATTTCTCACTTTCACTTTCTCTCTGTCTCTTTACAGCATGCACACATGCCCTGCGGCAAAAAAAAATCTAAAAACAAAAAAGATGATCACATCTATAAATACAAAACTGTACCTAGTGATAAGTCCTGCGAGCGTGGGAGGACCACAGTACTGTAAAAGTATTAGAAGAAGGGTAATTGGATGTAGACGGGCATGTCCCAGAAAGTGTGGTAAGATCTGAAGGACGAGAATCCATAAACAGGTGAAGTGTGGTCTAGGCAGAGGTGACGGCCTGCGGAGGTGTGTGCCAGAGATTCGGAGACAGCAGTGTGGTTGGCATGCACCACCTCCAGCTCAGTTTCTGCCACTCCCTGAGGAAGATGCTGCCTTTCACTTCTTGTGAAACCCCCTTTCCCTCTTTTTAACTTAAGATCTGCCTTCTCCAGGAAGGCCCCACTGGCTATTTTCTTTCTTTCTTTCTTTTTTTCTTTTGGAGAGTTTTTTTTTTTTTTCCCCGCTATAGGGCACGTGTGCTCACCAGACAGACAGAGACAGAGAGATAGAAAGCGAGAAATCTCCCCCCTGGGGGAGTCACGCCACAATCCCTTCTCCTCCATTCTCCTCTCGGGATCTTGGGCACGCATGCACAGGCGCCCGGCGTGAGTTTTAAGCCACCGGGTCCGGGATGCGAACCACGGTCGACTATGTGGGAGTCCAGCAACATAGCCATTATGCTAACTGCTGGTTCCCCCCTTTTATTTATTTATTTATTTATTTATTTTTTTTTTTAAGAATGATTTTTTAACTAGGGGCCAGTAGGTGGCAGGGCAGTTTAGGGGCATTGCTTTCTCACGTCCCCTTTCTATCTTGTTCTTTCCCTCTCTGGTCAAATTAAAATAAGTAAATAAAGTTAAATAAAATAATTCTTTTTTTATTGGGACCAGCAGTTAGCGTAATGGCTATGTCGCTGGACTCCCATGTAGTCGACCATGGTTCAAGTCCTGGACCCGGTGGCTTAAAACTCACATTGGGCGTGTGTGTGTGCGTGCCCAAGATCCCGAGAGGAGAATGGAGGAGAAGGGATTGCGGTGTGGCCATCCCCCCCTGGGGGATGATTTCTCGCTTTCTGTATCTCTGTCTCTCTGTCTGTCTGGCAAGCGCACACCACCCTATAGCAAAAACCTCTCCAAAAAAAAAAATTATTATTTTTATTTAGCTTTATTTATTCACTTATTTTTTAAAATTTGATGGTCACACGACTGATGGTCATTACTACCAGCATTTGCTGAACGAACACCTTGTGGTTTGGTTAGAGTCCGCCCTCCTCACCCCTGCTTTGTGCTGCAGGTGGAAGGAGAGCTGAGCCTTAGAGAGTGTCAGACTCTCCCTTCTTAACCCTTTTCTGCAGAGGAAGAATTCTCCTGTTTGTGGCAGGGGGGGGGGGCTTTTTTTTTTGGCACTGTTCGGCTTTTGTTCTCTGGACAGTTCTGCTGACCTCATCCGCCACGTCTACTTCCACTGCTACCACACCAAGCTGAAACAGTGGGGGCTGCAGGCCTTGCAAAGCCAGGCTGACCTCAGCCCGTGCATCCTGAACTTCCAGAGCCGGAACATCATTCCTGATATCCCCGACCACTTCCTGTGTCTGTGGGAGCACTGTGAGGTCAGCAGGCAGTGCCAGCAGTAGGAGCGGAAGGAAGGGGGGGGTCTTCACTCAGGACACCTTGACCTTTCAGGGATGCCTGTGTGTCCCAGGTTCCTACTAGTGTCCTCTGTTTCTGGGTATCTCCTTCCCAACCCCACCCAGGTTAATTTGGGAGAGTGGCAGGGAGTCCCCTTTGGATACATAAGGGTAAGGGTCTACCACCCTCAGTCCTTACTGCAAGTTGTCTTTGGCACAGAGCTCTTTCGACAATCCCGAGTGGTTCTACCGGCACGTGGAAGCCCACAGCCTGGGCTGTGAATACCAAGCTGTTGGCAAGGACAGCCATGTAGCACTCTGTGGCTGGAAAGGTAGGGCCTTTCCTTAACTCCTGGCTCTGGAAGAAACCCCGAGGCTGCTGAGTGGCTGGGGCAGCCAGGGATATGGGACCAGTCCTGCAGTGCATGGTTTTGCTCCTGGCTGAAGAGACTTGGGGGTGGGCTCAGCCTGGTTTGGGGGTTAGTGGTGGGAGACTGACCAGCCTTCCTTCCAGGCTGTACCTGCACCTTCAAGGACCGCTTTAAGCTTCGAGAGCACCTCCGCAGCCATACCCAGGAGAAGGTGGTGGCCTGCCCCACCTGCGGGGGCATGTTTGCCAACAACACCAAGTTCTTAGACCACATTCGTCGCCAGACCTCATTGGATCGTAAGCAGTTTGAAGAGAAGGGGGTGGGCACAGACTTCCTGCTTAGAGGGGTTGGGGACGGGTTGTCAGGGGAGGCAGCCACTGAAGGGATCTGCAGCTTGGCTCCCTTTCCCTTTGGGCTCAGGCACCTCCCAGTAGGCTCTTTGCTGACTCAGAGTCCTAGACCTTGTGATTCAGCACTTACTCTGCACTGTATCAGTCATCCCAGGGAATCCTCACAACAGCCCCATGAGGTAGGCTTCTTATCCCCCTTTTTGCAGATGAGGAAGCTGAGGCTCAGAGAGGTTAAATCACTTACCTGAGATCACACAGCTAGTAAGTGGGGAAGCTGGGATTCTAACTCAGGTTCTCGACTCCAAGTGCCATGTTCTGCCCATGATACCGTGTCTCTCCACAGCTCCCTAAGCTCCCTTGTTCTGCTTGGGTGGCTCCTTCTGCCTGGGGTGGTCTCCTCTCTGTGCTCCTCTGCCACCTGCCACAGCCCTTTTTTCTTTGGCCCGCCCCACCCCAGAGCAGCGCTTCCAGTGCTCTCACTGTTCCAAGAGGTTTGCCACAGAGCGGCTGCTGCGGGACCACATGCGCAACCACGGTGAGTGGCCTGGCGCCCCAGCTGCTGCCCCTGCCCACCTAGGCCCCAGTCCTCGAGTCACAGCCTGCTCTCTGCTCCTCCCAGTGAATCACTATAAGTGCCCTCTGTGTGACATGACCTGCCCGCTGCCCTCCTCCCTCCGCAACCACATGCGCTTTCGCCACAGTGAGGACCGGCCCTTTAAATGCGACTGTTGTGACTACAGGTAAGGGGAGCCAGGGGCCAGGAAACAGCCTCTTCGGGGGGCCCCCATGTCCTACAACCCTTCCTGACCTGTTCTGGCAGCTGCAAGAATCTGATTGACCTCCAGAAGCACTTGGATACCCACAGCAAGGAGCCAGCCTACAGGTGTGACTTTGAGAACTGCAGCTTCACTGCCCGATCCCCCTGTTCTATCAAGTCCCACTACCGCAAAGTGCACGAAGTGAGTGGGGCAGGCGGGCAGGGCGGGCACAAGGGTCAGCGAGTCCAGGATGAAGTCAGCCTCACCTGTCCCTCCCTCTCGCATCAGGGAGACTCCGAGCCAAGGTACAAGTGTCACGTGTGTGAGAAATGCTTCACGCGGGGCAACAACCTCACCATTCATCTCCGTAAGAAGCACCAGTTCAAGTGGCCCTCAGGGCACCCCCGTTTCCGGTATGTCTCTCACCTCCACCCCACCACCCCCAGATTTACACAACGTTTTAGGATACTGTTTTGTCAAGTTTAATACTTGTTATTTGGTGGTGCACTTGTATCCACTGTTTTCATTTAGACTCAGAGATCCCTGAGAACTGTGATGGGGCCAGAGTTGTTTAGATTTTTAAAAATTTTAATTTTATTTATTATTATTTTAAATGTGACCAGAGTCGGGTGGGGGTGGGTGGAGAGAAAATGAGGAAGCAAGCTCCCATGTCCAGGACTTGAACTGCATTCTGTCATGTGGGAGTCTAGCACCTTAACAACCATTGCCACCTGCTGGCCCCCCCTTTTTCAGTTTTAATCCAAGGCATGGTGCCAAACCCAAAAAATGGTGCCAGAAGTCTTTTGGCTAGAACTTAGCTGGAGTCTAGGGACCCTGTTCTTCAACTCTCTGGCCTTCTCCAAATCTCTTAACCTCCCACCTTCTAATACCCATGGTCGATCAATCTTGCACTGGGTTTGGTTTCTACCTAAAATTTTCTGGGTTTTGTTATTTTAGAGAGGTTTTTGCTATAGGACCCGTGCACGTGCCGGAGAGACAGAAAATGAGAAATCATCCCCGGGGGGCGGTGCGGGCGGCCATACTGCAGTCCCTTCTCCAAGTCTTCTCTTGGGATTTTGGGCATGCATGTACATGTGGCTGGCATCAGGTTTAAGCCACCAACTGGGTCTGGGATTTGAACTGTTGTCAACTATGTGGGTGTCCAGCAACATAACCATTATGCCATCTGCTGGTCCCAAATTCTCCTTTTTTAAATTTTTTTAAAGAGGTTTTTGCTATAGGGCACATGCGCTCGCTAGACAGAGAGACAGAAAGCGAGAAATCACTCCCTGGGGGTGATGGCCTTGCCACAATCTCTTCTCCATTCTCCTCTCGGGATCTTGGGCATGCACGCACACGCGCCCAGCGTGAGTTTTAAGCCACTGGGTCCGGGACGCGAACCGCGGTCCACTATGTGGGAATCCAATGACATAGCCATTGCATTAACTGCTGGTCCCCCAAATTCTCCATTTTGAATAGTGCTCCTTCCTTCCTGCCTGTTCTCCACATTCCAATAAAGACTTTTTTTGTCAACCCAGTCACTTAGACTCCTAGGCCTCCTTCCACTCCTCACATTTGTTCCTCAGCTTGCCAGTCTCCAGGCTGTGGCCGCACTCCCGCCCAGCCTTGCTGCCCACTCTCCTCCCTCCCCAGGTACAAGGAGCACGAAGATGGCTACATGCGGCTGCAGCTGGTGCGCTACGAGAGTGTGGAGCTGACGCAGCAGCTGCTGCGGCAGCCGCAGGAAGGCTCGGGCCTTGGAGCAGCACTCATCGAGAGCAGCCTGCAGGGCATCATTATAGAAACGGTGCCAGGGGAGCCAGGACCTGAGGATGGGATGGAAGAGGAAGAGGAGGGCAGAGGCGAGGAGGGGACAGGCTTCTCAGTTACTCAGGACAATGCCAGCCCTGTCATCCATGTAATGAATCAGACCAACACCCAAGGCCAGCGGGAGGTAGTCTACTATGTGCTGTCTGAAGTCCCTGAGCCGCTCTCTGGGGGCCTCATGGAACAACTTCAAGGAATATCTGCAGAGCCCGAGGGCCAGACGGTGTGAAGGCTGCAGAGCCTGCCCATTCCTGCCCCGGGGCCTGGGGCTTGAGCCAGGTGGGTGCCGGTGCCCTTGGTGGGCGGCCCTTGCCAATGGATGCCTTTAGGAGTTGGTGCTGAGAGCAGCATGGTCCACTGTGGCCTGGACCTGTGTCACCCTGCAGACTCTAAGGACTTCCTTTTCTGCCAGACCGTGTCTTAGGGATCCTGACGAGTCTGGGTCTTGGTGACTATCTCGGATGTTGTTCTTGCTGCCAGGACTGTTCACAGCTTAACCCTAACCCTAGACATGCTGGACCATGATGAAATCCTTAGTCAACTCATTTCCATTCCTTTGAAAAAGTTGTTTTAAATTTATTCTTCCATGAGCCAGAGCATCAGAGAGGAAGAGCAAGGGCCAGTGCCCCAGCAGTCTTGATGTTGCCGTCCACCCCAGCCTCAGCCTCCCCCGTGGGTACACATTCCTGGTGTGCCCTGGGAGGTCTCCAAACGCCAATTGGAATGTCTTCACGTGGGTCAGCATCTCAGAGTGTTGTGTTTTGCTGTCACACCACCGTCTAGCCCCCTTCTATCCCATCATCAGGATCCTTGTGCCCAGGGAGGATACATAACTGGTCCCTTTCCTCACCACCAGCCAAGGCTTTGAGAACCAAGCAGCCATTTCTCTTCTAAGGGTTTGTCTTAAGACCCCAAGGACTTTCATGATTTCCTCAGGGATGGTATTGAGAGTGTGTGCTACAGTTGGTTTTGGTAATAAAAGAAACTTGTAGATTGTGACTCATTTTTTCCCCCAAGAATTATTTTATTATTTTTTAATTTGACCAGCGAGAGAAGGAAAGAGAATATAGGCTGTCAGGTCTGGGGCTTGAATCATGGTCTGCCATGTGGGAGTCCAGCTCCTTAACCACCATGCTATCTGCCACCCGTATTACTCTTTTTTAAATTTTTAAAAAATTTTAAAATGTTATTTATTTATTTATTTAGAGAGGTTTTTGTTATAGGGTGTGGTTGCTTGCCAGAAAGATAGAGACAGAGAGACAGCAATAAATCACCCCCCAGGGGGGATGGCCATACCGCAATCCTTTCTCCATTCTCCTCTCAGGATCTTGGGCACGCACGCACACACACACACACACGCCCAGTGTGAGTTTGAGCCACCGGGTCCGGGGCTCGAATTGCTGTTGACTACGTGGGAGTTCAGTGACATAGCCATTATGCTAACTGCTGATCCCGCTTTTAAAAATTTTTTTAAATAATTATTTTATTTATTTTAATTTGACAAGATAGAGGGAAAGTGAGAAAGCAAGCCACCAGGTCTGGGCCCTGAACTGTAGTTGGCCATGTGGGAGTCCAGTGCCCTTCATTACCACACCACCTGCCAGCCCTGTTGCTCATTTCTTCATTTTGGTGGCAGCGGGCTAGGTACGGAGGAGCAATAGCCATCCAGAAGAGCTGGATAATTAGGCTCATTTCCCTTTTACTACTAGAATAGTTTGTTTTTAAGTGTCACGTTGTCCCTCCATTGGGTGAGACTTCTCCATTTCTTCTCAGAGCATCTGCTGTCTCCATGGAGGCCCTGGGCATTTGGCATGAGTGGGCAGTAGCAGTGCTGTGCTGTGGAGTGGACAAGAGCTGGGCTCACTCTCGGCCTCCATTAGAACCCAGTGGGTTCTAATGCCTCCCGGGTAGACCTGTGGGTGGGACTGGGACAGAAGCTGGGGAGGGGGATAGAGGGGCCTACCAGGGAGTAACAAGTGCTAAAGGGGTTCAGGAACTAAGCTAGAAATGAAGGTAGAATGTGCTTTTTTTTCCTGAAGGAAAGAATGTATTACATTCCCAGGTTGAAATGTCCGCAGTAAGAACCACTGCTCAGGCCTGTTCATCTGTCAGTCCCTGTATCCATTCTCATGGTCTCTGCCACTCTAGAGAGTCAGAGAAATAATTTCAGCAGTCTTAGAGGGACTGGAAACTGCCCTAAGAAGATTTCTAGGTCTTTGTTTTAGTTCGCCAGAGGGTGCATGTGCTCACGTAAGAGACAAGGTGAGAAAACACCCCCATGGGCATTTTTCCTTGGGATTTTGGGCACTTAGGCACTCATGCCCAGCGTGTCTTTCAAGCTGCTGGGACCAGGTCTGGAACTATGCATTTGGTCATGTGGTGTCTTACCACCTTAACCGCTGTGCCACCAACTGGCCCTGATTTCTAGACCTTTTATTAAGTTTATTTCCTATATGGGTGAATGCGAGAGAACATCCCCAAAAGGGTCTCAACGTGGTCTACCCCCAGCTTCTGCCAGTGCCCATGGGTCATGGGCACTCCTGTGCTGGTGTGCTCAGGGAGGTCTCCAGACATGAACTGAGGACCTTCTCTTCACTCTGTCAGCCATTTACTGAGTTCTGCTGTGGTCTAAGCACAGGTACTAAGGAGAGGAAGTCGAATAAACACCTGCTCTGGAGGGAGTTCAATAGAGAGAGACTAGTTGAGGGATGATAGAAGCTTATTGGGGGACATCTAGAAAATTCAAAATAGGAGGAGGCAGGATTACCTGGGAAAGGGATCATGAAAGTCTTCACCTGGGAAAGGGTCTTTCTGCCCAATCCCAGATGACTAAGGGCTCTCTAAACCCTGGTCGGCTCCCCTGTTACAGCAGCCAAGAGCTGTGCATTGAGAACGGATCTCACATGGATAACCGTGGTTTGAATCCTGGCCCCAGTGGCCACATGCTGCATGCCTTCCCAAAATCCGGACAGGAAGGAAAGGAGAAAAGGGATTGTGGTGTGACCGTACCTCCAGGGAGGAGGGGTGCGTGTACTCTGGTGAGCACAGGCACCACTTGGCAATAAAAACTGGAAAAAAAAAAACCAAAAGATATTTTTTAGATTTTTGTTATAGGGCACATGCACTCACCAGAGAAACAGAGACAAGACAGAAAGCAAGAAATCACCCTGGTGGTGGTGGTGGGGAGGCGCGGGGAATGGCCACACCATAATCCCTTCTCCATTCTCCTCTTGGGGTTTTGGGCACGCATGCACACACACACGTATGCGTGCCCTGTGGGAGTTTCAAGTCGCTAGGTCTGAAACTCAGACTGGTCAGTCATGTGGGAATCCAGCAACATAACCATTACACCATCTGCTGGTCCTAAAAAACTTTTTTGGGGGGAGTTATTTTATTTAACTTTACTTATTTATTTATATTTGAGTGGTAGAGAGGTGGAAAGTGAGAAAGCAAGCCGCCAGGTCCAGAACTGATTCGTGGTTGACCATGTGGGAGTTCAGCGCCCTTCACCACGCCACCTGCTGGCCCTCCCCAAAAACCTTTTTTTTTAAGAATTATTTTAACTTTATTTATTATTATTTTCCAATTTGACCAGAGAGGGAGAGAGAGGGAGAGGGAGGGAGGGAGGGAAAATGAGAAAGGAAGCCACCAGGTCTGAGACTCGAACCATGGTTGGCCATGTAGGAGTCCAGTGTCTTTAACCACCATGCCGCCTGCTGGCCCCCACAAAAAGCTTTATTTTAAAGAATTACTTTATGTATTTATTTATCTTTAATTTGATCAGAGAGAGAGAAAGTGAGAAAGCATGGTACCAGGTCCAGGACTCCAGCTGTGGTCAGCTATGTGGGAATCCAGCATCCTTAACCACCACGCCACCTGCTGGCCC